CTGCAGAAAAACATCCCCACAGCATTATGGACCCACCATCATGCTTGACAGCTGGGACTGTATTTGCCAGGTCATGAGCAGTGTTGGGTTTCTGCCATACATACCACTTGTCATTTAAACCAAAAGGTTATGTTTTGGTCTCATTTGACCATAGAACTTTCTGCCACATTGTTGTAGTGTTATTGAAATGTTTATAGGGATAGTCCATTTGCGATCTAAGATGCATCTTTGTCAGTAGTGGTTTCTTTCTTGCCACCCTACTATACAAGACTTTTTTGCGTATGGTACATGATATTTTAGATGTGTGTACAGTAACTCCAGTTGTTGCTATAGACGTCTGCAGCTCCTTCAGTGTCACAGTCACTTCTCTGATGATTTTTCTGCTTGTTCGAGTGCATACTTTCTTAGGGCAACCTGATTTTGGCAAGGTTGAGGTAGTGTGATACACTTTTCATTTTTTCACAACCCATTTTACAGTACTTAATGGCAAATTGAGAACCTTTGAAATTGATTTATAGCCTTGTCTGAAATTGTGTTTCTGAACAATCTTCTCCCATAGGTCTGTAGAGAGTTCTTTTTTTTCATCATTCTCAATATGTAACAGTAAACCAAATTTTAACTTTCAAAGAACTCTATTTAAATCAATACTGATGGTTATATATGACCTAAAATATTTTTTCACATTGTTCTATAAAATAGTTTGGTACAGAGTTGTACAGAGCCACTTGTATTTACTTTAGCAGGGTAGTGTTGTAAAGTTAAATCAATGATGGAAAAAGCTGAGGGGGATGAAGACTATTGCAACATGTGTTTTAAGATTTTTGTGTGTTATATCACTAAATTGGGTAGCAATGCACATTTTGTTCTTTGTGATCTTTAGAAACTGGTCTGAGATTAATATAATTAATATTTTTGTCCATTTGAATTGTGTCTTTCACAAGAAAATACCTAAAATTTATTACCAGTACAGGGGGGAGTGAAGACTTTTGCAAGGCACTGTATATGTATATACAGGGGTTGCTGTAAGACTTAATAAGGGGACAGTCACATTTATTTGGTGATTCTAGAAGAACAATCCCATTAGAAATAGTGAAAGAATAAATAATTGAAAAAAGGCACAAATGGTAATTATTGAGGAAGATATGGGAATAGAAAAATGAGAGGAAAGAAAAGAAAACAAATGGAGTAAGATAATAAAGAAAAGAGAAGCATTAAAAAGCTTAAATAAAATATGGAAAAAATTGGCTAAATGAACAGGGATCAAAAGAAAGGGAAAGGAAGAGTGAAGGTAGGTTTGTTATAGAGTGTAAGGAGAAAAAAGAGATGAAGATATCTTGCTATAAAGATGATTCATTATGTGTGTGTGTGTGTATGGATTGAATAACAAAAGAAAGAAAATGGGAACATTGTAAAACATTGTCCTGTATACAGTTTTTACTTAATTAGTACCTTAAGCTAGTTTAAATAGATTTAGAAATACATTAGAAATGGAAGACAGAATTGAAGGCTAGAAGAGATTTACATAAGTTATATAATAAAAATAAGAAAGAAGAAGGTGATAAGATCTGGGAAAAGGTAAAGAAGAAGTGAACAAATATAAAAATAAATGAAAAAATGACCATTCAAACAAAATTAGATGATAGAAAAATATTCTATGGAGGTGTTAAAAGGGGTAGATAAAAAGGAAGATGAAAAAGGATACTGGAATGCAGAAATAAGTTATGAAAACTTAATATAAAAATAGAAATTGAATAACTAAAGAAAGAAATTAAAAATTTGAAGAAAAACAAAGTCCAGCTAAAGATTGAGTAATAAATTTTATATAGCAGCAACAGTAAAAATGAAAATTAAAGTTTGTGAAATAATAAGTTGGAATATTTATGAAAATACAGTGTATCCAAAAATGGAGAATAGGAGAAATTTATAAATCAAGAGAGAAAGATAATCCCTAAAAATTACAGAATAACAACATTATTTGACACACATAAAATCATGAAAAATATAATAGCATAGAGGTTAAAGAAGGTGGTTAGAAGAAAATGGGAAGATTACAAAAGATGTAGTAGGTTTTGAAAAGGATATTCAACAATGAACAATATATTGATGTTCAATGCCTTAATAAAACAAATTAGTTTCAGATAAAAAGGAAAAGGCTATTGGCTTTTTTGTGGACTTTAAATCAACATCTGATATACTGTAAATAAAACGACTCTTCTGGAAGATTCAGAAGAGTGGAACTAAAGGAAGAATGTTGAAGAGGATACAGGAGATTTATAGCAAAATATAGTAAAGATAGATGGAAGACAAAATTGTTACATGTGAGAAGGAGTTGGACAACAGTGTCCATTAAGATTATTATTAATTAGGATATATATATGTATATATAAATCATCCAGAAAAGGTGTTGTAGAAAGAGAAAAAATAAGATTTATTGTTTAAAGTTTACAGATGATAAAAAAAGGATTGAAAGAGATAATTGAAAAATCAGAAAGATGTATAGATAGAAATAATTTAATGATTAGTTTAAATAAATCAAAAATTATGAAATTTCAGAATTAAAAGACAGGGAAAATGGAAGTGGAATAATAAAAAAATAGAGGTGGTAGATAATATAAATATTTTAATACCAGTTTACAGGAAGAAAGGCACAGTAGGAGTAGATTTAAATTTGATGATGAGAAACCCACTTTATAGAAAATAAAAAGTTTGAAGATAGCTTGATTGGGTAATGAAGAAAACTTTATTATAAATGTATGATGTTTTGACAAAATTATTTCATCCTCAAGATGATGTAATCGACAGTTATTGAAATTGACTTATGTTAACACACAACAAACATGAGTATTTTATTAACACGAATCAACTATTTTCTGTTCACAACACGACGAATTA